CAGTGACATCCCAGTGACACCCCAGTGACAGCTGAGTGAAACCCCAGTGACACCCCACTAAAACATCAGTGACATCCCAGTAACACTCCAGTGAAACCCCAGTGACACCCCAGTGCCAGGACACTTGTGTCCCTGCTGGGTGCCCGGGGCCCTGCAGCTGCCTGCAAATGCTTTTCTGCACACCTGTGACTCTGCCCTTCTTAGCAGAGCTGCAGGTAGGATTGGATTTCTTAGAGCACCAGGGGCAGAAAGAATTCACAGTGACACCTTCTCCTTTTAGTGAGTAACTGAGAGCAGGGGCACACAGCAGAGATGTGACAAGCTGGGTGCTTCAACCTCACTTAAAGCTGTTTATCTGCCCTTGGCAGTGCTTGGCATGCACTTTGGGCCAGTCATTCCAGCTGCAACTGAGAAGAAAGTGCTTTTCAGAGAGTCAGAAAAGCAGTCTTGGGCCTTGAAACCTTTTGTGACTTGGCATTTTCTCGCAGTGCAAGAACGAGCTGTGGTGGTGTAATAGGAACCACATGGAAGAGCAGCAAAACCTGAGAGGGAGGTGCTGGGGAGGCTGGAAAGAGTGAGCAGCACTCAGCTAAGCACTGTTCCCTCTGCTCCACAGAAAAAACTTCCTCTGACAGCTCTGGCTCAGAACATGCAGGAGGGATCCGTCCAGCTGAGTGATGAAACTCTGCTGGGGTAAGGGTTTGCCTTTTTCCCTGACTTCTTACTGCCTGCAGGGCTCCAATTGGAACCTCTGGGTACACAAAGGCTGGTTTCAACCTAATAAAACTTCATATTTCTAGATTCTTTCTCTCATCCAAAGGGAGAAACAGCGAGCAAGCAGTTTTTTCTGGAATGATCTGGGGACAGGTTTTAGGCTGAATTGCATTCCAGAGGATTTTGATTCTCTGCTATCATAAAAGCCTTTAAAATTGCTTTTTTCCTTATGGGTTAGTAGAATTACTGTCTGCATTTGAAGTTTAAAATATTATGTATTCTACAATGAAACTGCATTTTTATTTTAAACTGCGTTCTGCAGGTTTGAGTTGATGACTTAAAATCATGTCAATTTGCATTAATGGCTCCTAGTTCAAAGTAGCCCAAATTTATCTATCCTGGCAAAGTGGTTATTTGCAATTTACAGGAAAGTGTCTGAAACAAATGAACCGCCCTGTGCTGGATTCCTGGAGCCAAGTGGGTTTTTTCATTGCTGGTGGGAATTCTTATGGAGACAGTGTAGAATGACCCTAGAAACCTTTGAGAACATATTTCTGAGCCATTGCAGGAGATTTAAACCTGGATAAAAATCTTACAGAAGGGGGGTTTTCCTTATAGCAAGCATAAGATGAATGTCAAGTCATGGATTTGGAGCCTGAGTCTGCTGGGGATGGGATTGCTGGGAATTAGGGTGTTAAGACCTTCACATTAAAGGGGCTTAGGAGAAAATGAAATACTGCATTGAGCAACTTCTCTTGCATCTGTGAGATGGAAGGATGGGCTTAGAAATAAATACTGACATCTGTGCCCTCGGGGCTGGTGTAATCACCTGGATGTCTAACAGCCTCCAAAGTGCTGTCATGGCTCAGGAATTTAGAAGAAGAAGGTTTAATAACACCACTTGCCTGTCCCAGATTTCTCCAGGAGAGCACAGAGCAGTTGGGCTCAGGCCATGAAGGGATGCTTTGCTTTCTACAGCACAAAGCTGTCCAAAGCTCTGCTCTGCCTTCAGTCCTTCTTCTTCAGTGCTAACTGGCATGACAATTTCCTGCAATTCTTACAGGAAAATGCTGGATACGTGTGGGGATGCAGAGAATAAACTGGCAATGGAGCTCTCCCAGCATGAAGTACAGATTGAGAGAGAAGTTCTAGACCCGCTGTGCCAGCTGACAGAGGTGAGACAGCTCAGCCTGAGAGGGGGAGCACATCTGGATTGGTGCCTAAACTGAGCAGAAGTGGTTTATCTCAGTGCTGGCATTAAAAACTGCTTTAAGGAGCCCTGTGCTGGTGATGGAAAGTGGCTATGAAGCCTACAGCATGTAATTTGTTACAGTGCACAATTGAAAATTCAATGTAAGCCCCTAATTCTCATTTCAGACAGAGATCCCCAACATTCAGAAGCAGAGGAAGCAGCTTGCAAAGCTGGTGCTGGACTGGGATTCTGCAAGGGGAAGGTAGGAAAGCATTTTAGCTCCTGGGTGCTTTTCTGTCCATGTGAACTTGTTGGCATCTCGTGGCACCTGCTCTGGTGCTTGCTCCTGAAATGCTGCTCTGAGGAGGCAATAGGTGAGAAAAGACAAACTTACATTTAAGTTACACCAGAAAAAGATCCATGACTGCTAGATCCAAACAGAATCAAGATTTCAGAGCTCTTACATGCCTGTATATAATTGGGAAAGTGCTGGAAACTCATCCAGTCTCCACTTATGTAAGTGTTTAACTTAAATAAGGGATCACTGAAGTTGTCAGCTTGAAGAGGGAACAGGAATCTCTCTGTGTAACCACACCAAGTGCTTTTACAGCCCTGTATGGAACTTTGGGAGCTCCTGGGTCGTTCATCTCACCCTTGAGTGCCTTTGAGTGGTTTTACACTGCCCTGAGAATTGATGGAGCCATTTTCAGCATATTCCACACCCATGCTATAGGGCAGGCACAGGATTCCTGGTGATTTTTATAGTGCTGCTGGGTTGTGTCAGCATGTCAGGAATTGTGTGTTTGGAACCTTTTGGTTCTGTTGGAAAACCTCTGGACCTGGGGGGTTTGTTTCCTGTTGAAGAAAACCAATTCCAAGGGAGCCATAAATGCAGATTTGTGTTGGATATTGATTCTCACAGAAGGAAACTTTTCTTCCCCAGGTACAACCAAGCCCACAAGACTTCAGGAACAAATTTCCAAGTGCATCCTTCTAAAATAGAATCCCTTAAGGAAGAGATGGATGAAGCTGGAAATAAAGTAGAGCAGTGCAAGGTAAGGACAGGATGAGTGTCCCTTCCACACCTCCCTTGGAACTGCCCACTTGTGCAGCTGCAAATCATGTGGCTGTGACAGTGTCTGTCCTGGGGGTGTTTTCATGCCAGCTGATCTCTGGATTGCTTTAGTTCAATGAGGAACTCCATCCAGGGTGTTTCTAAGTTGGGTATTTGACATTGTTTTCAGTTTCAGTCTGAGCCAGCTGTGTCCTGGCCATGGGTGAATGTTCAGGGTGTCTGGGTGCTCCCAGCCATGGGAGCTGGGCAGTAGGAGGCACCTGGAGGAACCTGAAGCTGGGCTGTCCCAGGACCTGTGACACCTCTGAGCAGCTCACCTTCATTTTCACTTCTCAGCAGCAAATGCTCCATTGAGCACTGAGAACTGAAACCATTTTTATGAGTGCTTGTCTTCAAGTGCTATAAATATCTAGACTGAATGGCAATATGTTCTTGACTGAAGGGGGCAACTGCTTTGCTGGATAAAGCAGAGTTAAGGTTTTGAAATCCTTTTGCTTGAAGGACACTTGGAGCAGAGCAGGTGCCTTACAGCTTCTTAGTCCAAACTTCCTGCAGGCAAAATAAACAGAATCAATCTATCTGTGCAGTGTGAGATGAGTAAATCTGCTGTCCTGGTTTGCATCTTTCCCAAAGGATCAGCTGGCTGCTGACATGTACAGCTTCGTGTCCAAGGAGGGGGAGTATGCCCGCTGCTTCGTCATGGTGAGTGCTGGCACTGGGCTCTGTTCAGCACAGCTGGGCACACACACTCCCTTCTCAGAGATGGCATTTTGTGTGCTAAACCTTTAGTTTTGTCTTATGTGCTCATCAGAAGCTAATGCTCTTTTTGTTTTTAAAATGTGGCTTCTGTTCTCAGTTATTAGAAGCACAAGCAGATTACCATAGAAAAGCATTAGCAGTCATAGAAAAGGTCCTACCCGAAATTCAAGCCCATCAAGGTAAAGTAACCTGTGCTCTGGCTGATGCTTCTCCTTGCCTGTGCCACCTATGCACAATATTTCCTCCTCTATCTTAACTCTCTTGCATGCAGACTGATTTAATAAGGCCATTTTGAGCTGCTTAACAATTTTACATTCCCGAGCATAATTCCATCTTCGTGTTCTCCGGAGTTCTCCAGCCATCTTTAACACACTAATAAAATATTAATTAAGGATCTCTCTGATACCCAGAAGGGTAAAGGAAGGATTTTTCTGTTTGCTTACCTGTCTTCCCTGTGCCTTTCTGCTGAGTCACAGCTGGCTCTTCAGGCCAATGAAAGTGTCATTGTGATTTGGTTCTTGAGTGATTGCAGGTGATTATCAGGAAAATTCCGTGTATTTTAAGGAGTTTGATTTTTTTTTTCCCTCATTTTGTGCAATCCTCTTTCCCAGTGTGCACTGCATGCAGAGAAAGGGAGAGTTTGGGTTCTTGTGCTGATCAGTTGTTAAAAAAGTGAATTAGACAGCTTCATTTCTTCCCTAAGAAGACCTGAAACTGCTGCTAAGCTTCCACTGTCAGGGGACTTTCAGGTGCATCACTGACGATCTGGGATGAAGATGCACTGTGTGTTTTGGAAACTACTCTCCAAAATATTGGCCGTGCTGTCCCTGAATCTTTAGAGAAATAGGGGAACAGAGTCTGAGGGAAAGCACAATCTGAGCTGAGGGAGGCTGTTAAAGATGAACCGATGAAATACATAAATCAGTAGGAAATGCTGTGGGAGATCTGCACTCCGTGGGAGAGGGGTGATGCTGGTACAGCAGCAGGGCTGTGCAGAAGGTTCTTTTTGGATATGGCTGCTTGAATTTTGTTATTGTTGTCTGGGAAGTTTGGACAGGGCAGCTGAGCAACAAACGCTGCAGGACAGACTGGCCTCCCCAGAAGGTGGCTGGGAGCCACGGTGGCCAAGTGGCTGAATGTGGGGGATTTCTCACTTGTGTTTCCAGCTGCAGTGTGAATTAGAATCCCTACAGGTTTGGGTTGGAAGGGATCCTAAACTCATCGAGTGCCACCCTGCCCTGGCAGGGAACCTTCCATGATCTCAGGGTGCTCCAAGCCCCGTCCAGCCCGGCCTGGGACACTCCAGGGATGGGAGCTGGGACTTTGGACAAGCACTGAGGTTTCTTTTCCTGATGTTTGCTGTAGTTTGCAAAGGTTGGGAAATGCCCTGTGCATCTCATGGCGTGTTAACGAATGAGAGGCACTAAAAGCAGACAAGGGAGGTGATTGATGTGGTTTTGTAAAGAATAGGGGTGAGTGAAATCCTTTGCAGAAACACTTTGCCTTCAGAGAGCTCTTTGAAGTCCTCTGAAGTTTTTGTCCTTCTTGGCCTCTTTTCCACATAAAAGAAATAACACATCTGTACTAACAATAACCTTTTACATCTGCATTTTTTCAGTTAAAATAGCAGAAATGGGTCAGAACGTAAATCGTAGGAAAGAAGAAATTCACATTCAATTTGGAGAAATTTGTGCAAATTGGAGTTAAACAAGAGTTGAAGAATTAAATTGAAAATTTGGATGTTGTGGTGCTGGGCTGTTACCATGGTAGTTCTGACGTGATACACTGGGGCTCTTAACATCCATTGTAATTTGCTGATTTAAAGAATGAAACAGCTCAGTTTTTATTCACTTTAAATACAGTTAAAACCAAAATCAGCCCAGGTCATGCAGTCTGGGCAAAATTTGCCTCACAGATTCTTGCAGACTGGAGCCAAATCAGTGTTACTGGAACGTGCAGCCTTGTGCTGGCACTTGTTGGGGTTTGTTATTTATAATTCCAGTTATACACAGAATTTGTACATGATATTCCATCCAGAAAGATGCAGAAGTATTTTTTTCTTGACCACCAGCAGCCTCATTTTCTCTTTGCTCATGACCCAAGGGACTTTACCAATCACGGGCTGTAAAACTCCTGCTGTAGTCTGAACATTTCTGTGCTGTACTAGAGGCTTCCTTCTCTTCTTGCCTGGGCTGTAATTCAAGGGTTTGGGAGATAGCCTGCTCAGTGTTTTGATACTCTCCAACTTAGACAAATGGACTGAAAAGCCAGCTTTTGGAACTGCCCTGGAGGAGCATCTGAAGCGCAGCGGGCGGGAAATCGCCGTTCCTATCGAAGCCTGTGTCATGATGCTCCTGGAAACAGGGATGAGAGAGGAGGTGGGTAATTCCAGGGAGCTAATTCCAGGCCAGGGATCATGGGGAAGAGGGCCAGTGAAGCTCATGAGCTGGTGTCTGTTTGTTAACATGGTCCTTAACTAATTTCTTCATTGAGTAGTTGGTAAATGTTTTGCAAGGGAATAACTCAGCGTGTGTGAAGTGTCTTGGAGGTGGATGCACAGATAGTGAAATTAGGGGTGGGCCAAGGGTGGGAAGGGGCTGAACCATGGTCAGGTGGCAGTGACAGGGCACATGAAGGCTCAGCTGGGTCACAACTGTCAGGGGAAAGCACCAAAGCTGGAATGTTCTGAAAGAGGCTGTTGTAAAACTGTTGTAAAACTGTTGTAAAAGTGTTGTAGAACTGTAAAACTGGTGCTGTTCCAGCCTTGTGTCAATGTGTGGTTACCAATCAGTACATTTTGTTTCTCTGGTGCAGGGCTTGTTCAGAATTGCTGCTGGAGCCTCCAAGTTAAAGAAGCTGAAAGCTGCCCTGGACTGTTCCACGTCCCAGCTGGATGAGTTCTACTCAGATCCCCACGCTGTTGCAGGTATTGGGAGTGCTCTGAATCCAACCCAGGTGTAAATTGACACAACACAACTTCGTGCTGGTCAGGTGTTGATGTCCACAGCCAGATTGGGAGAAGTGCCAATCAGTGGAAGGTTCACAGCACAGTTTGACACAGATAAGTGCAGGGTGCCCGTGCTGATCACAGCTGATGTGTTTGTGACAATGGTGTGTGACATTCAGGTGATCATAATGGCCCAGCTGTCACATCTCTCATGACAGGATGTTAACATGGTCAAGGTAGATTAGAGCTATGTGTAGACCTTCAGTACATCTTTGTAAGAAATCCTTTGTCTTGAAGAGGTGATTCAGAGTTTTACAGCATGTTTCTGCCAGCCTGCACCAAGTGCTGACAGACCCTTTGTGCTGAGTTCTGAGCAGTTCCACTGTGCAGGTGTCAGGCCTTGCCACTTCCCCTGGCACTTGGAATTCATTGTGCAGATAAAACTGCAAATGTGAGGGCAGAATTTCCCTGAAGTGTGAAAGCAGTGGCTGAGGAGCCAGCCTGTCCCTGTTTGCATTGCAGGTGCCCTGAAATCCTATTTGCGGGAGCTGCCAGAGCCTCTGATGACCTACAGCCTGTACGAGGAGTGGACACAAGCTGCAAAGTAAGCATGCTAGGAATAGCTACAGAGGAAGTCATGCTGCACATTTCTGTTAAATTTGATTCTTCGTAGATGAATTCAAAAGAAACAACCAGGCTCACACAGTTATTTATTATTTCACTAACGGGTATTTCGTGTAACAAATTATTTTAAATAATAAATAGCTTAATACGACTTGCAGAAAATGTGGTGAAATACCTTCTTTGTTTAACTGTTAGGGTTGCTTCAGGCTGCTGGCTGCACAGTATTGATGCTCAAGCAGTTTTGTGGCAGGTAGAGATAACTCAGGCATCTGACAAGCAGGTTACCAAGTACAAAACATTTATTTGCCATAAATGGAAGTTGATATCATCATCTCTTTGTCACTGCAGAAACTAATTCCTGCCTTGAAAGTAAGATGTCATGGCATTTTTTTTGTCCTTTCAGTATTCAGGACCAGGATAAGAAGCTCCAGGAGTTATGGAGGATTTGTAACAGATTACCTGAGCATTACCGTGTTAACTTCAGGTGGGTGTGAACACCTCTTAGCTCAGCTGCTTTGCACCTCGAAGCCAATTAAACTAAACTCTAATCCAGGTGTGCTGTTCTTGGCCAAATTCAGTGAGATTTATAAAAATACCTCTTATTTCATGCAGCAGTGGCCCTGCGCAGGAGGTGTCCTCAGATTAATTCCCTATCAGCTGTCAGGAAATAGTGATGCACAGAGTCTTTCTGCTTATGGCTCATGCTCTGCTCTGTGCTGTAGTTTCCACTATTAGAAACCACCTGGATCTATCTTCAACATCTCATTTTTCCTTTTGGTTATGCGCTTTGGAAATGAACCGGAACAAAACCAGCTCTGGTGATTCCTAGAAGCATGGAATTTCCATTACAGGACATAAAACTAGCTGAAATGAAGCATTTTTCTCTGGAAGTATAACATTTCTGTGGTTCTGTTTTGCTAAGATGGGAGCTGCTTTCTTTGCTACCCAGTTCAAGTTTTATGAGTCAGGAGCAGAAGCTTTGGGCAGCTGCCAAGCAAGAAGGCTGCTCATCTCATTTCCTTGTTGTTGGGAGCTCTCTGTACAAGTTCTTGAATTTTTATTTACTTGCTTTCAACAAGAAATGCTCATGGTTCCTGCTGTTTAATTATTTCTTTCCTTTTTGAAGGTATTTAATCAAATTTTTAGCCAAGCTTGCCCAGAACAGTGACGTTAACAAAATGACACCGAGTAACATCGCCATAGTCTTGGGCCCCAACTTGCTGTGGGCAAAGAATGAAGGGTGAGTTCTTTTAAGAAAGCTGCAAAGCAGAACTGGGTGAAGCTGTAGAACTGACAGGTTTAAGTCCTTTGGCAAGGAATTTAGCAATTCACAGCAACAGACTGTTTACCTAAAAAATATTTGAAATGTTCTTTCAGCCCATTCCTCCAGGTCCTTTGAGGCAGGAGGGGTTTGGGGGGTGTTTCCAAAAGCTGTGAATGTTCCTGAAGAGTCTGGAGTCCAGCACAGTTGCTCTTTCTCTGCTACTGAGGCGCTGATCCATCATGCTTAGCCTAAGTTGCTATTTAGGTAGTTGGAATTGATTTGATTTTTTTACTTTGACGGAGCTCTGTTCAAACCTCCCCTGCAGGTCCCTTGCTGAAATGGCAGCAGCCACTTCGGTGCACGTGGTAGCAGTTATTGAGCCCATCATTCAGCACGCAGACTGGTTCTTCCCTGGAGGTGAGTTCCTGCCACAGCTCAGCAGTTTGAGCCCTCCAGGTCACCCTCGCTGGCCTGTGCACTGAGGCTCCCCTCGGGCTGGGCGTGTGTCTGAGGAGGCAGTCTGTCTGTCTGTCCCTTTGCAGATGAGGATTTCAATGTGTCTGGGGCGTTCGTGGCAGTTCCTGCTGTAAATTCCAATCACTTGTCACACACTGGGAATGATTATGAATGTGGGACCCTGGAGAGGAAGAGGCCTCTGAGCATGACAGTGATGGAAGGGGATTTGCTGAAGAAGGAAAGGTAGGTGTAATTCTCTTATTTAGAGGGTCCATTACACCCTCTTCCAATGAGGTTTCAATCAGACACCTTCACTGGTGTCAGGAGAGGAATTTCACGGGAATGCTGTAGATAACCACAGTGATTTGTTTCCTGTTGTTGCAGCCTGAGGATGGCTCAAAGGTAATGTACTGTTACTTCCTTCCAGTTACACTCTGTGCATGCTAAAGCCCAAGCAGATATTGCTGCTCCCAGTCTCCTGGCACCCATTGGGGCTGGTCTGAGATTCACTGGAACAGAAGTGTCTGTTCAGTCGCCTCTCTCAGTCTCTAACTTCTGGTATTCCATGGCTTCTCTTTCAAAGCCCATAAGCTGAGGTGATGTTACCTGGTGCCTTCATGATAAGACTTCTGAGTTGATGATGGTACAGTATTGCCACAGCAAGCAGTAGAATGCTAAAAATTCCCAGTAAAACGTGCTGTTTCCCATATAACATGTAGTGTAACGTTCATTTTTATCACTCATCATGAGTATTCAAGTGATGTGCTTGTTTTTAGCTGTTGATGCAAATGTTGTTACCTGTTAGCTGTGACCAGCCACATGCAAATTTGTCAACACTCACAGAGGAAGAAGAAAATTGGTTCAAGATTCAGTGTTTAACACGACAAGAATAAAATAATTTCTAGAATGAATGTGCTGTATGCATTCTAAAATCTGTTAGAGCTGGGGTCTGTTTCTTCTCCATTGTTGAAACGCAAATAGAATGATTTGGGTTGGAAAGGACTGTAAGGATCTCTCTTTCCAGCCCCCAAATCACAGCCTGTATCCAGTAGCTTTTTTTTTTTTAATCTCTGCTGCAACTTAGTGTGTGGTAGAAACAAAATTCATGTGGCAAAATACATTTGGTGAGGAGCTACTCTGGTGTGTGAGGAACCGTCTGTATTTACACGTGAGATTCCGAGTGCTCTGACCTCATTGTCATCAGTGTTTGTCTCCAAATGTAATCGAGTAGTTTGTTCGCTGACGTTCAGCCTGTCCCTCCGTGGGGATGAGCCAAACCCGTTGCATGTTTAACATTGCTGGTGTTGTGCAGCAGAGGAGGCTTTAACACCGCGGGGTCGGAGCTTTCCTCCTTCGCTTTGCATGCGGGGGTTCCTGGGGGTGGGACCCCCGAGTCCTGCTGCAGCAGCCCGGGGGTGGCCGCCTGCCGCTCACTGTCTCTTCTCTCTGTAGCTTTGGCGTGAAGGTGCTGGAGCTGCCCGCGACCCCGCGGCGATGTGGCACTGTAAGCAGAAAGCTCACATCGCCCGCCTTCCAGCCGCCGCTGCCGCCCTGCGAGCCCGCGGCGCTGCCCGAGCAGCACTGCCCTGCCGGGGCTGAGCCCGGCCCCGGGGCTGCTCCCGGGGCTGCTCCCGGGGCTGCTCCCGGCCCCGCTGCCCCCGCCGAGCAGCCCCAGCCTCCGGGCGCTGAGGATGCCAGGTAAGAGGCACGGCTGGCGCTGGCAGCGGCTTGGCAGCGGCTCCGGCAGCAAGCCGGTGCCACCCGTGCCCCCTGGGATGTGCCCTGGCAGCAGCGCCCTGCAGGAGCTCTCCTGCCACAATTGGCCTTCTGAAACGACACACTGAATTGGTCTAATCAAATAGCATCCGTGGTTCTGGGTGTTCCGGAATTCATCTGCTGATAGAGCATACGCAGGTCTGTCTGTTCCAGAGTTCATCTTGTAAGGTACCAGAATCCTTGGAGAAAAATGATATTGAAAATTATCATGATGATGAAAATGATCATCATGATGATGAAAATGATGATGATAATATATATGATGATAATAATAAAAAATACACACTGTTTGCTGCTGCCCGCACTGACCTTCCCAGGTTACGTTCTGCAGATGTGCACACAGGTGGCACCAGTTTGCTGCTGAAAGAGCCAAACCTACAGTGGCAATACCAGAAACCTGTTGGTCTTGTTTGTTGTTTCTTGTACTCGTTATCTGGATATGTCTTGTTTTGTTTATTTGTCTGTAGCAGGTGTTAGTGATGAGCAGACTTGCTTACTAGAAAACTTGCAGTCAGTTTATCATATTTCAGGATTATTTTCTTTAGGACAGGTAGGTACACATGCTCTTTGCTGTTTAATTTCTCTTGTGTCCCTGGACTCCAAGGCTAATTGCAGCAGCCTGAATTCCTCCTGTGAGGTGGAAGCAGCACTTTGCTGTCAGCTCTTCAGTGTTCTGAGAGCTGTGACAAGCCACCTGTGCAGCCTGCAGCGTTTCCAAATGTCAGCCTCAGGGTGAAACCCCACCGTGGGGTTTGCTGCAGCACTGACTCTTGTGCACAAAGCTTGTTCTCAGGTGACATATTTACAAAACCAGCTCGTTTGGAAATCCCCTGCACACCAGTATTTCCTCCACTGATGGCTTTTGTGGCAGAGGCAGCTGAAATGAAACCTCAGGGGTCGTGTCTGAAAGTGGCACTTAAAATCTGCACAGCTTCTGTGCAAGTACTCACAGTTTGTTAGCAGCACCTGGAGAAATGGGGATTGCAAAGTGCCAGTGGAAGCGAGTAAAGCCAGTCCTTTTGAGGGCTGAATTGAAGTGAGAGAAGCCTGCAGGTACACGGCCACAGGAGGGGACCCTGCCCAAACCACCTCACCTGGCTCATCCTCCACCATCCCTCATCAACCCAGCACTTCACCACCGAGCCATGTCCTCAAGTGCCACATCCAGGTGTTCTCTGAACACTTCAGGGCCTGTGACTCCACCACTGCCCTGGGCACCTGCGCCAGGGCTTGACAATGCTTTCCGTGAGAGCTGTTCCTTCATGCGTGATCCACGGCACGGTTCGTAAGGGAGCAGCTGCAGCCCAGCCAGACAAGGCTCACCACGACCATCTCTAACGTGGGCTCTTTCATTTCCAGTGCCTCAAAGTGCAAGGACAGCTCGTCTGCAGCCACTCCTCCCCCGGTGAGGAACGGCGGCCAGGCAGGGTCGGCCCCGGGCCAGGCAGGGGCCAGCACCTCGCAGCTCGGTGTCAGCCAGCCCCAGAACGCTGCTGGTCCCAGTCCCCATGCCCTGAGGAGAGGTGGGTGTCTGCTTTCCAAGCCTTTCTGCTGCCTTCCAAGCCTTGGTGTACTGCAGAAATGCTGCTGAAATAACTTCATCAGCATCTCTGCCCTTACACAGGCAGGAGTTGACTCTGCTGGCTTGTTCCCAGGGCCTGGCTGTAAAACAGCTGTGACTTTTACACTCTGAATGGTGACAGTGTCACCAGTGCTGTTTAACAAACTCTCTCAAAAGCTATTGATCAGTAAATGCTTATATTTGATAATGCACCATTTGATTTTGATAACATAGCTGGGGATGTTTTGTGCTGCTGATTGTTTTCTTTGGGAGCTTGGTTTGGACTTGTAGAATTCCAAAGTGGTTTGGGTTGGAAGGGATCTTACAGCTCATCTTGTTCCATCCTCTGCCACAGGCAGGGACAGCTTCCACTGTCCCAGGGTGCTCCCAGCCCTGTCCGGCCTGGCCTGGAACACTGCCAGGGATCCAGGTGCAGCCCCAGCTGCTCTGGGCACCTGTGCCAGGGCCTGCCACCCTCCCAGGGAGCAATTCCTTCCCCATATCCCATCTAACCCCCCTCCCTGGCAGTGGGAAGCCATTCCCCGTGCCCTGTCACTGCTGTCCCTGATGCTGGGCTCTCCCCTCTTCTCTCCACAGCTGTGAAGAAGCCGGCGCCAGCCCCCCCCAAACCAGCCAACCCCCCGCCGGGGCAGCCAGGGAGCCAAAGCTCTTCCCCAGCTGCTCAGCCACCTTCTGTCTCCCCAAAACCTCCGGCCAGAAGCTCTTCTCCCCCCGCCCAGCACGCCAACCAAGGAGCAGCCCAGACCTCCTCCCCGTGCCAGGTTTCTGCACCCCGGAGATACTCCAGCAGCCTGTCCCCGCTGCAAGCTCCCAGCCACCCTCCCCCGCAGCCCCCGGCGCAGGCAACCCCTCCCCTGCAGCCCCGGGGCAGCAGCCAAGCATGTCCAGGGGAGCAGGGCCCCGAGCAGCCGCTGCCGCAGACCCCCACGCCGCCCGACACGCCGCCGCTGGGCAAGCACGCCGTGCCCCCCGAGCCCTGCCCGGCGCCCTGCCCGCCCCAGCCCGGCACCTTGCCCCGGCCACGGCCCGTGCCCAAGCCCAGGAACAGACCCAGCGTGCCCCCTCCGCCTCACCCTCCCTCGCAGCCGCCTGCAGACCCCACGCACACGGCCTCCAAAATAGTCACAGGTGAGTGCGTGGCCCTGGCGCTGCCAGGGCAGGAGATAGTGCCTGGGGTGGGGGCATGGGGGGGCCTGGCCAGCACAAAGCACAGCGAGATGCTCCATAGCTCATTCCCAGTTCATATCTGTAGCACAAAGCACAGCTGGATGCTCCATAGCTCATTCCCAGTTCATACCTGACCAGCACAA